CCAGGGAGTGGCTCCCTTATCACCCTAGTTGTCAGTGCAGGGTCCCTGAGTGCACCTCAGCAGGGAAATGTAAAACACAACGTGGGTGACCTTGAAAAGGTCACCTCTGGGGTGCCTGGAGAAGGCAGTCACATATGCCAGTCCATCTGTTCATGGCCCAAAGATGTGGAAGCAGACGGAAAAAGAAATCCACCTCAAGACCCCTACTTTCCTCTAGAAATGACCAATTGCCTACCTTCAGAATTGGTGGGAATATTTGAGTCTCTGAGCAATAAAATACAAAGCACTGAAGAGTGAATAGCAAACCAATATGTGTATTTCTGTAGTTCAGAAAAAACACACAGAGATAAGGGAGAAAAGCTGGAAAACCACCCCCCTGAGATTTCTTTTATGTTAAATACTGGGAGTTCTGTGCTCAAGTCTGATTTCTGAGCATGGCAACTTGCCCTTAAATAACCAGATCTGCTCCTTTCTCCAGTCTCCATCTCCATCCTGGGAGTCCTGGCATCCTGTTCTCACCTGTCTGCCTGGGAATATGGAATGCCTAAGCCAAGCCCTGTCCTCAGCAGCCGGCAATGTGGGAGCCCAGGGTATGGTTCTGGCAGCTAACATGCTCCCTTTCTTGGCAAGACAGCCTTGACTTTTACTGTCCCTTCCAGAAGCCTTTGGGTGAGTTTGGGAAAATGTAAAAACTCAGGCTAGAGAGACTTGCATAAGCCTTGGTTCACTCCCCAAATGCAGTTGTGGGCAGCCCGGTAGCCTCAGATCTTCTGAGACTGACCTTGAAGGTAATGAATATCCCCTCCGCTAGGGATCCCAACTCTGTATGTACTGAGGCCTGGGAACTTGCCCTTCTACAAGCTTCTCCATGCTTCTGATGCAGATGTGTAAGCGATTCACGCCACACTGGGGCAGTGGGATAAACAGGAAGCATGGGAGGGCAGGCAGAGTCAGAATTAATTGCTTTTTCTTTTGACTCACAGCAGTCGTGATCTCGATTAGCTGTGGAATCTCACTAGTAGCTTGGAATCAAAGCGCCTTTCCCTGTTTCACTATAATCTTCTTCCTACTAAAGCCCATTTCCCTTTCTTTAAGTCTCAGTGACTCTGGATTACCTCTCCAACTCCAATGCTTGACCATATTCTGGAATTGGGTTTTTGGTTTTCTTAAAAAATAATAAATTTGTTGATAAACACAAACACATAAACCTTCTCTTGGGTCTTATTTTTGGTACTTTTGTTCACCCTTCCCAGAGGTACTGCTGTGGCACACACCCTTGGGGTCATCCGTTTCTAGAACAGGACATTCTGCTTTCCATGGTCATACACACAGGCACACCGGAAGTAAGAGTCCAGCTGAAGAGTAGATACAGTGTATCTGCTCTGCCCAGCTCTGCTGATGTAAGGCCTGCCGTGAACGATGTGAACCCAGCCCAAGCTGCACAAGAGACTGGTTTCCTTGCTTGCTTTGGTGACAGCTGCCAGCATTTTCATGTCTGCACCTTGCCTTGTCCATGCCACACCTTTGCTTTACTTGCTTGGACCGCCCCCCCCTCCCCATTGCGTAATGTGAGTCAAGTCACTTGGAAAGGAGTGGAAGGGAATGTTACCCAGAGCGTGCAAAATGGAAGCTGGATGCGGGATCACGTTTGTGGAACCACAGATAAAGCCCAGAGCAGCCTAATTGGCCAACACCAGTGGAAAGACTGTAAATGTGTCTACTTAAAGACCTCCTGTCAATGATGCAAATTTGCCTTTCATCTTCCCAGGGCTCAATGATTTGAGGCATGGTTCCAGATCCCTACAACTTTAAAGGTAGCGTGCAGCGAAGTCACACAGAAAGTACTAAGTCCATTGAGCCACCATCACCATTGTCAGCCTCATTATCACTATCATCGACCGCATCTCTTTGCAGTGCAGAGAATCAAATCAGAACCACCAAGTGCATGCTAGGCAAGCCTTTGTCATTCAGCTGTACCCAAAATCTACATTAAATATTTAAAAACCTTTCCACCAAGAAAACTTTAGTTCTTCAGTGATTATTTACATCACAAGAGGCAACACAGCATGAATCTTACAGACAGAGCTACATTCAAACTACACTAGCTTTGCCTCAGATCCATCATTCATGTTCTGTGGAAGAAAAATGATGCAAGAAGTAATATTTATAGCACATTACTATATTGTTACCCTTGTAAATGCTTTACATAAAATTTTTTATTGAAAAAAATTACATCAAGCCTATGATGTATAAAGTACAATCTCTTTCATTTCATAAATGATGGGTGCAGGGAAATCAGATCCTGTGACTGAGAACATACTCCTTGCTACTGTGCATCAGTCCCCTACTTTATGGCAGAGTAGGTGACAGATTTCTATAGGAACTTGGCAAAGCAGTCATTGTTCAGTAGATGATCATTATGGTTATCATGTGTATTTAATGGACAGATCCTTCCCAAGTGGAGTGATTTCTCAACTTATAGGAATAGAGTGCTAATGAAAAATTATGGTTTTAATTAACAGTTTTTGCTAGGCTCTCTGGATCTATTAAATTCACTCCAGCGTTATCAGCATGATCCCTTAGTTGCAATCATTCCAATTGTTAGCCTTGCTTTGATTCTGGAGCAGACGTGTTGCATTCCAGCATGCAACAGGACTTCTGGATCAGCCCCTGCTTCTAGAAGAGGGAGCTGTTACTCTGGACTCCCAGGATCTTGTTAGACCACTTTTGCTTGCTGGCTGCCTGGTTTTCTTACTAGCCATTCAGCGAGAGACTTGGGGATTGTCCTAGAGTCTCAGAACTAGATAGTCAGATCAGCATAGGATACCAGCTGCACCAGATCTGAGGCTATAGTTCCTGACTTGCTAACTTCTAGGGTGTGCTGCTGGGGTTTGTGAGGTAGATGAAGGAGTCTTGACAGACAGAGGAGTCAAAAAAATGCAGAATTAAAAACTAAGAGAGGAAAAAAAATAATCTAGAGAGAAATAACCTTCATAGATTGAAGCCATTTTGAACTGGGAGATTCTTGAAATGCCCCCCCACTCCCATTGGTAAGTTTCTGAGGTGAATTCCACAAAATTACGCAACTATGTGTTTGGTGTGATTACTGGATGAGGACATGAGAAACTTCTCCAGCAAGTCCCTACTTGCATGAAACCTGTGCATGTTGAGATACTGTTTGGGGGGGGGACTCCATTATTGACTGACTTTGGGAGCTCATAATCCCAGCACCCCTGGGCAGGGACTCACAGGGACTCACAACCTTCAACACACAACTTCACTGCTGCTAGATGCAAGGCCACCAGAGACCATGTCCCAAACCTGACTTTGCAGGAGCATGTATGTCCTGATCATGAGAGCAACCTCCCAGGGGAGAAAAGGATATGGTCACAAGGGACATCCCAGACACACTCCTGTTTTGATGTTTCTAATACACAGAAAGGTCACATGAGGTCCAGTACATCAGCTTGTAGAAGCTGTCATTCTTTTCCTGTGTTTTTTGCTTCATTTTTGTATGGATGGGGAGCCCTTGTCTAGACTTTGTCTTTTCCACATCACAAAAGCTTTGCTGTGTCACCAATGAAGTCACCACCACCTTCTGCAGTTGTCTCTCATGCTCCTGCAAACAGGCAACTAACCACCTTCTCTGTCCTGCTTCTCTTCCCTCCCTCCCTGAGGCCCTCTGCACAGTTTTCCCGTCAGAGGAACCTTTGGAAGCAAGTGTGTCCATTTGATTGAAAGAGGCTAATAACTTCGTATGCACTGGCCAGCAGGGTTCAGTCTATTGGAGACCCATCAGCCAAAGGAAACTCCAGGCTGTTACCACTGTTGTTGCTGTTTGCTTTTTTCCTGGTTGATATTTTTTCCTCTTCTATCTCATCATCTTTCCCCCACCAATACCGCATTTAGTTTCTTGACACTCATCAAATTTATATTAAATCTCTACCTTATCCAGACTCTGGGTTCTGAAAATTTGCTAAGTCTAGGAAGAAAGGAGAGAAGTTTGAGAGGGGAAGGAGGGAGAGGGGATGGCAAGCAGGCAGGGGTGGGGGGAGGGACGGGGTGCGGGTGCTTTACAGAGTATCACTGCAAGCCACACTACCAGAAATGTTACCTCCTTGAGTCATTTAGTCCTTGAGTATCTTGTTCTATGGATCCCGGCCAGTCTATAACTGTGTCGTAAACTTTGATTATTGAGATTAAAAGCACAACTGTGTCTCCTTCCTTCTCTCTTTCCCTACCCCTGCTCTCTCCTTCTCTCCCTCCCTCCTTTCTTTCTTCAACAAAACATTCTCTGTAATCCAAGCTGCACTGGCAGGCAGGCAGGCCGCGTCTTAGATTTCCTCTGGGGTTTTGACTTTTTTCCTCTTTTCCCTCATGCACTGACTATAATGTTTGTGGAGAGCTGGGCTACCTTGTGAGCTACACAGGCTGCTTTCTTGTCCTAGAGCCCGTGGTCTAAGGTGCATCAATCAAGGAGGTCGGTAGGTTCGTGAGACACTGGGGGTGAGTGCCGGGGAGAAAACAGAAAGGGGAAACATGGTATCAGAGGTGGAGGTGTGTCACTTTGTATTTGGGAATCCAAGAAGATCTTCCCAAAGAGGGAATGTTTGAAAGGAAAACTGAACAAGAAGGAGCCCGGTACTCATCCATGTAGGATTTACCCCCAGTTCTGACTGCCCCAGCCTCCTATTCAGCCAGGATTGAATTCCACATAAGTCTTTACCCCAAAACCGGCGTGAGAGACAGAGGTCAGTCAAGAGGGCTGCTGAGAGTGGAGGGACCCTGTTCTGGGCACAAGTCAGCCTTTAATGAGGATCCAGGTGACCCTTTGAAAGATGAAACCTGTGGTCAGGTCTCCCCCAGCAGAGAGTTTCAGGTTTCAGTCCTAATTATGGAACCAAGGAGATGGCCCAGCCATCATCCTGTTCAGCTGGGGTTCAGCTTCCCTGGGAAGAGGCCTTTCCTGTCTCCAGTCCTGCAGGCCGCAGGGTACTTACCTCAAGCAGATGTTGGCTGCTCTGAGTCAGCGCTCACCATGGCACTGAGTCACTGGCTCACGAGGTGGGTAGGAGAGAGAGGTGCTGGAGGGAGTGTCTGGCAGCAGGACTGGCCCTAGGGGTTGCCAGCACTCTCGGCTGCTGGCTGCAGCTCCAGTTATGATGTCACAGAAGGATGGAACCTCTCTCACGGCCAGGACTATGAGCAGGTCTTTCCTCTCCTTTCCTCTCACAAATATGGTAAAACTTCAGGTAGGAGCATAGAGAGAATGCCAGCCTCCTGATGGCTCCTGGCTTGGCACTTGATGTATGCTGGCTGGTATTGTCTTAACCCTCTCAAAACCTTTTATGCAAAGCAATGCCTGGCATTCATTCCCTTCGACTGTCTGCTTGGGATCAGAAGTGGGGCCTTGGAATGTTCCAGACTTTGTAAAAGTTGTGTATCCATAATGAAGTATCTTAAGAACGAGGCTGAAGTGTAGACATAAAGTTCATTAGTATGTTTCATGTACTTCGTATGCATAGACTAAAAGCAACTGTTCCACAGTATTTGCCTGTGATGTAGGGCAGGTATATGGAATGTTCCACTTGGGATCAGATGTGAATACTCTTAAAGGTTATGCTTTAGAAAATATTGAATTTTACAGTTTTTGGTGTAGGGATCACCAATCTGTAGTACTATTCCTAGTTCTTTTTTTGTTTTTTTTTTTTTAATGAGGCTTCAAGAAGTTGTATAGTGTCCAAGGTTAGCTACTTAGTGGTCAGGGTCTGTCCTACATTGATGAGAATCAGTGTACCTTAGATTCTGGCCTTGGAAAATTCTTCCTTTTTTAAAGGTCTGTTTTTTAAAGTGTGTGTGTGTGTGTGTGTGTGTGTGCACGTGTGCACGCATGTGTGTGCACCCATGCACATGCACACCTGAGAAGTGGACCCCAACAGCTAGAGTTAATGTGATTGTGAGTCATCCAACATGACTGGGATTTGAACCTGCCTACAACAACAATATACTCTTTTAACTGCTAAGCTGTCTCTCCAGTCTCTTGCTTTACCAGTTTTTTTTTTGTTTTTATTTTTTGTTTGTTTGTTTTTATGGAACTGGGCCTGAACCCAGTACCCTATGCATGCTAGGCAAGTGCTCTATCATTGAACTATACCCACAGTCCTCTACTTGGCTACTGGGTTGTACAGGCTCCAGTATGACATCATAGGACAAATTAAGGAGGAGCCCTACCTTCCTGAAAGTGTGCTGGCAGTGATTTCTAGAGATATTTGATATGGACAGTTTTGCAGAATTAGCCCAGTTAATGGTTTCATGACATCGAAGTTGGAGTGGAAAGGTGTAAAAGGAGATGGCAGAGTGGAAAATAATTCCCAAGGCTGTGATTGTTTGTTTTCCTTGACTCCAGTAAATGTGAGCAACTCCTTTGTAGAATCTCAGTGCGTAGACTGTCTGGGAAGTCCTCCATTTTTACATGTCTCCCACCTGAGGTGCAAAAATGAACCTGTGATCTCATGTGCCTTAGTGACCCTTCCTCCAGTTTCAGGATCAAGGCATGTGAGAAGCCCCCACTCCCTGGCAGCACACTGGTTTAGATTGGACAAGGGTCCTGACACTGATCCGAGGACTTCCCTATATTCTCAGAGGTGGCCTCTTCCCAAGGACAGAACTGAAGTTAGTGGCCACCGGCAAGTGAAATCCTGGAAAGGAGAAACTAGACAGAAGCAACACAAGTCAGCAGGCCCCCTGCCATTTTGCTCCCAAATCACAAAGCCACCAATGTCCCTATCCCATTTCACCATGAGAAGATACCTCCCATCACTCCCTCCAAAATGACTTCCACCAATAATAAGTGAGGTCATTTGTATTCACAACTCAGTAGATAGTAAATAATACCTCCTCCAAGGTATTAGAAATGCAAAGTGGCAATAAAACTGGTCCCCATCTCCTAACACCTAACTTGAAGAAAAGAGCATTATAATATTGTCCTGTTTGAGCACCCTTTACAGGGTGGGAAAACCGCAACTTTTTACAAAGCAGGCAGCACGTTTTCTTTATCCTACAACACAAGACAAGTGTAATGACGGAAGCAAACCAGCTGTGGCCCATTCGCAGGCAGCAGCCGCATGCAGGTAACTTTTAAAGTGCAAGGGGGTCCTTCCCTTCCCTTTGACCCGATGTCTGTGTAAGTAAAGCTTTTAGGACACGGAAAACCTTGAGCACTGACAGAGGGGCCCTCCCCCAGGCAAATGGTTGTCTTGAGTGTGCTTGCTGGTACATTCCTCAGCCGCCTCCCCGGGGTCTCGAGGGCATCCTGCAGAATCTGAGCTGGCACTTGGCATGAGTCTCTTCTCCGTAAGTCACCCTCTGCTCCAGCTTCCTTGAGCTTCAGAGGACTCAGCTTATCTTTGTACAGAGGTGTAGCCTGGCCCAGGAGGTGAAGAAGTAGAAATGTAGTCTCAAGCCTTCCTAAGATCTGCAGGTGATGGAGGTATCACTGGATGCCTCACTAAAGAATCTTCTGAGTCTGGCCCCTCTGCAAACCCAAGAGAGGTATCCTAGAAAGAGGTGCACATAGAACTTCGTGGTGCCCACATTTTTTCGAGAAACAGTTTGGAACTGAATTCAGTGATATCATTTCTGGGATGCTGGAGCCCATGCCAGGCTGGGACTCAGAAATCAAGCAAGGGTCCCAGAGACAACCTGAACTGGACTCTGTAGTGGCTTTGGTTAAAATCTGGCCCTTGTGAACTTGGAGGCTTCCGAGGGGCCTAGCTTCCCGGAGCATGTTTCTTTTTCTGGAAATAATTAGAGTCACGTTTCTCATCTCACCGGGTTACTGGGAGAATCAAATGACACAGACTGTGCACAGGCACTTCCTACACTCCAAGGTGCTCTAAAAATAAAAGGTATTATTTTCTAATGAAGATGAATCTTAGTTCACAAATTCAGTTTTACAGACTCGGGCATGAATTTCTGTCCACACTGTATCATCAACGGACTTTCTATTTCAAGCGCTATCTAGGGTTACTGGATTTAGCAAATAAAAATACCACACATCTAGTGCAGAGTGTCCTGTATTGTATTTGACATCTTTACCTCCTCCATCTAGGCCACTAGGAATCTCTGGAAAGAATGACCCCTGTTCCCAGGACACAGTTCTAAGGACTTTAGCAGTGTTAAATCAGCCACCCAAAACAGATGGAAAACAAATATAAATCAATAGTTCTAAATATGTTTCAACCATAATTAAAATGTTTTCTATTTACCACATACTTGACTATATCAGAAGTAGTGATATCTCCTTCAAGGCCTTATTCTGCATTTGTAATGTGGGGTGGGCACTTACTATATCATATCATATAAGAAGATAAGAGGTAAAACTATATTTATCTTACTTTGCAGCTCAATTAATGCATTTTTGTTGTTGTTGTTGTTGTTCGGGTTTTGTTTTGGTTTTGTTTTTAAGCCTGGAGCCCTTTAGTAGAGTTTTGGGATTCTGCATCAGTCAGCTACAAGACTCTGTCACTATCTGATGTACAGAGAACCACTGTCAGTAACCGAAGCTAATCAGATGCTTCCTTCCTGCATTACTGTGGTCCTTCTGCTTGGCTGTGGGTTGTGCTTCTCTGGAATAAATGTCTAGTGGAGCTGAGGAGCCTGCCCCCAAAAGTCCACCTGAAAGGAGCTGGAGGCTGCACACAGTGCTTTTTCTTTGGCAAACAGGGAACAGTGTTTGTAAACGCACTCCCCATTGTGTCTTTTGGCATCATTTCCAACTAATGACATCTTTGCAAGAGTCCTGCAGAGCTTGTCTGCTGGCTACCAAGTTACGAGCACCCAGAGACCCAGCTTCATGGGATCTGGGAAGTGAATTAGAAGGTTGCTGCTCTCCAAAGGTGCAGGGTGGGTGTGATTCAGTTCAGTGAGAAGAAGGGAGAGCCGTCTCCCCTCGTACCTTTCCAGGACCTTTCACACTTGCTGTACGTGATCTCTCTCTCTCTCTCCTAATTAACCTTTCCGCTTTTTCTTTAAAAGGGCGGTAACTTTTGTTCATGTTCGACATGCTGCCTTGAGTGTGGAAAGGTCAAGCCGCCTTTGTGCAAACCCCAACTCGGCTACTTACCAGCTGTGTGACCTCCCACCAGTTACTTAATCTGTGAACTCCAGTTTCCTCGTCAGTTCGGTGTAGATCATCACAGCACATAAAAGCATTCGCCATGGACTGGAAGGGTCATGTGAGAAATGCGCTCAAGTGCTTTCTGCATCACCTGGCACATACAGGCTTTGCTGGACAGTTGCTGATGCTGTTTCTGGAATAAAGTGACCAAGAGGCCAAGGAAAGACAGATTATTTGTCCCATTTGAGAAAGAAGATAGGCAGACCATCCCCATACTTGTCCATTTGAATTAGGAAGTTAGAATCCATCTTCTGACAAAGGAATCCAGCCAGGACCTCAGTTCCAGTCTATGACCCATCTGACTGTGTGTTTCTCTAGCTTGTGCTATGGTCACTGCCTCTTCTCTAAGGCTTGATCCCCTGCATAGATCCAAATGTGCCCCATGCTTCATGCACTTCCCCTTGTGGCAGAACTTTTAAAGGCAAGGAGTGTAATTGCTTGTATATCTGTGTGTGTGCACACCCACATGCGTGTGCATATACAGAATATGTGCAATGCAAAGGGCCATCTTCTGCTCCAACAGAGTGCAGGGAAAGATGATACCAAGCGGGAGGATTCTGCTTTGAGAAAGTCAAGGCTGTTTATAACCTTAACAGAGCTGGTTGGGGAACACCAGTGAAGCAAATGGGTTCCAATATGTACTCCAAGTCTTGCACCTTGAAGTACACACACACACATGCACAGGTGTCATGCAGACACATTTACATTCTCACCTATCCAGAGACACCTGCACCAACACCAGCTTGTGCCATATCAGAGTCCATTACTTGGGCATTCAAACACTGTGTAGAATATTGCTGGAACTAAGGAGCAGTCTGATGGTTCATGAACCAGGAAGGGAAACTGACAGTGAACCCTGATGACAGCATAGGAGGATGCCCCAGAATTCTGAGATCTGGAGAGTATACAGGTGGCTGTTGGGGTTGGTGAGG